TGTGATTCGGTGATTCTGTTGTTGACCAACACCAGGTCGGGGCCAGCGGCAGGGGAAGAGGCTGAGCCACGACGGTGGCCGTGGGCAGAGCCGCCTCACCAGTGCCGGAGAGGCAGGCGGTGATGGTTCGGTTGCATAGGGTAGCTATATTTTGGTTCCTCAACGTTATAGATGCTATTCAGATTTTTTTTAAAAAGAGGAACAAGTATTGTTACAAAGAAGTTATACTACACGTGTATTTAGATAAAACAAGACCTGAAAAAAGTTTCTCCTTCCATTCGCCGTTTACCGGTTGTGTTCCTGAAGACCTCCTAACAGAAATCAATCACTTGAAATGAAATAGGATCCCGTTATTTAAAAAAAAAATAACCTCAGAAGTCTGCTTTATGCAGTGTCTTCTTGTCTGTCCATATCATCATTTCCCAGCAAATAAAACTGTCAGTTTAAGAGATCTATTTTTTAATTGTATTATATTCCATAATAATATAGCACCAAAAAGGGACGAGCATCCTCTATGTTACATGAGGTAAGATAGCAGTGGTTTTTCAACAAATTCTAAATTATAAATACTTTTTCTTTTTTTCTTTTTTTTGTGGTTCAAGGTGAAAGACACTTTTAGTAAGGGTGCATAGGTTTGTATTTTAAGGCATGGGGACTGTCAGTACCCGTGTGAAAGCGCGGCGGTTTTTACCCCTGGAAGGGAAGGGCTGTTGCCTCCGCGAGCAGCATCTGCGAGAGCCCAGCTGTGTCTGCTGGTAATTGCTGCTTTTATTCAAATTCCTATAAATAGCAGGTTTCTTCTCGCTCTTCCCCTTTCTTACTCTTAATTAGCTAATGGCAGCCGCAAGTAGGACAACAAAATCAGAGTGCAGTTGTCGTGCAGAGCATTCTACAGGTAATCAGGCTGTTGCTCTCCGAAAGTGAGAGTGTGAGCTTTGCACGGCGCCTTTGTTTTAATGCTGAACCTCTGTACTTATTCTTCCACGTTACGAAAATTTCTCAGCGTGACATCTTTCCTGGTCAAATTACGAGGTGTTTTTAAAACTAGGTTGTGTATTGTGCTGTCTCCCTCTAATTTTTATACAAATGTCACTTTTATCAACTACTAAAAAATTTTGATCAGAGGTTTCAGTGAAACTCTCCGATGAACGTGCGGGAGAATAAGCAATAATGACACTATGGGAGAGCATTTGTCAAAATTGCTAAAATGCTCATGAAGTCCAACCTTCTAGGTGATTACATCATCATCTGAGGACTATTTTTTATGAGTTGGGATGAAATTTAGAGACGTGTTTGAAAATTTGAGGGTGGGTGTGAACGTGAACGGGCAAAGCTGCATGGGAAATAGTGACTGCTGCTGTTCCTTCCGTCTTTGAACAACACCAGGGGAATTCTGCTTCCCAGATTATCCACCAGAAGATTATAAAACATTTAAAGTAATGCTTTTACTTGTATTAATTTTCCTAAATTGGCTACTGAATTCTTTTTAGCTTGGCTAGTGATTTTTTTATTTTTTTTTGTCGAAGCGCTGCTGATGTTGTTTTAGCTGTGGTTGTGGGGTCGAGCCCTGAGCAGTCTTCTCTTGACTAACGGTCACAGTTGGTCGGGGACTTTGGTCCCTCCCTAGGCAGCCACCTTCCGGGACAGGCAACACTGGAAGAGGCTGAAGATTGGTTAAAAGAGGAAGAATAAACATATTTGTTCATAGAAGCTTCTTGAAGGAAAGCAGTCCTCACCCTCCACTGTTTTGGGGGGTGGAAGGAAAGCTCTTCAGCATCATCCAAGTACGAGACCCAGCGGAGATGTGCCTGCGGGGCTGGCACGGAGCGTGGCCGGTGGCCGTGAGCATCGCTGCCAGCTCTCTCCTGCGGCTTTGTGAAGGATGTGGCTGGTGGTCGCTGCCCAGAGAGGTGGTGGAGTCTCCCACTCTGGAGACATTCCAAACCCGCCTGGACGCCGTCCTGTGCAACCTGGTGTAGGTGACCCTGCTCTGGCAGGGGGGTTGGCCTAGATGATCTCCAGAGGGCCCTTCCAACCCCGACCATTCTGTGATTCTGTGGTCCCACTGGCCAGGCTGGCCACACGTTGGGCAGCAGTTGGCCCTAATGGGGTTTGACCTTCCGTATGGCAGGTTCGGTGCTGGGGAGGGACTGGAGTGCCGTTTTCTCGTTATAACATGTGCAGGTTCAGGTTTTTTTAATTTAGTTCAGTTATTAGTTCTTGGACTGAGACCAGGTGCGCGTGTTTTATGAGGGGAAGGCACGTACGTAATGGAAATGCTAACGAAGAATTAATTGGCACAAAACACAATGATGTGATAGCATTTCTATTCTTCTCTTACTTTCTCCTGGTAATACTTTCATAAAATGGAAAAAAAAATTATATTGGGAGGAATGTGGAAATACGTGTCAAAAATTTAAAGACACTATTTTTAAATGTTACTTAGTAGAAAGGTAAGGTAAAAACCGCACTGGAATGGATTACATTGTACATTTCAATTTATCTGTAAGTCAGAAATGCAGTAATGCTAAATTAGGAATTTGATATTTATTTACTTTTTCACATTTACATTTGAAAGTGCCTACTCATTTCTCCAGGCACTTAAAAATGCAGAATAAACATAAGCGAGAGCATGAGGATCCAAAGCCAGGAAAGCTTTTTCTCATCGCTGTGATTTACTTACATGTCTGTTCATCAGCAGCTATTCCACTGAATCTTCAAAACCTTTGGCCCTTCTTTTCTCCCTTTTCCTGTAAATATGACCACTTACAATGTGGTTCTTCGGTACGAGGTGAGTTGAGTTCCATCATCAGTGATTTTGCGATAAGGAATAATTATTGGGTATTTTCTTTCTTAATGAGTACTTATATCAAATTTTATTTTATTGTTTTTCTGTGGCTGCATCATCTGAGGGCAGTAAGGATTTTGCTTATCTTATGTTGAACATGTTAAGGAGAGTCCTCATTTATCAAAAAGGTGTAAAGTGCTTTCAGGGTGAAGCACTTCTCAGTTCGTGGTTAATTTTCTGCAGCTGCTTTTGTGCCAACTATTAAAACCTAGTTCTGTATGGAGAGAAAAAATAGTGACTATCAACTTTGAGATAACAAATGCAGAGAGATTTGCAAATTGAGAAAGTACAGGTCAGGGGCTGACCTGCTGGAGAGCAGCTCTGTGGAAAGGGACCTGGGAGTCCTGGGGGACAACAGGATGCCCATGAGGCAGCAATGTGCCCTGGTGGCCAAGAAGGCCAATGGCATCCTGGGGGGCATCAAGCAGAGTGTGGCCAGCAGGTGGAGGGAGGTCATCCTCCCCCTCTGCTCTGCCCTGGGGAGGCCACATCTGGAGCGCTGTGTCCAGTTCGGGGCTCCCCGGGTCAAGAAGGAC